GACACACACATGCACAAACACCCCGTGACTGGGCTTCCTGTAAAACAATCAGAGCATGAGGGTCCAGAGAATTGGCGGGAGGTAGGGGGCAAACAGAGAGAGGAGAGGAATGCAGGATTTGAAGAACAGATGAGAGAGGACGGAGATGGATGGAAGGTTTGTAAAGAGAAAAAAAGCTGAACCAGAACTCCTACATCACAGGGATCGGAGAGATGGAAAGACAGAGAGACAGAGTTAAGAGCAGAGTACAAACATTCCGACAAAGTTGCTGCTTGGCCCGGCGCATCCAAGTATGGTCCAACCCAGAATACCACACACACACACACACCACACACACACACACACACACACACAACACACACACACACACACACACACACACAGCCGCCTACGCTTTGCCCTTGATGCCCTTGCTCTCTGTATAAGTGTGTGTGTGGCTATTGCCCCGATGCCAGTGAGGCAGCAGGCTGACTTGGCGAGCAAAGTGTCCATTCTCTAGTAAAGCCAGCTCCACAGCCCTTTTCCTTAGAACTGAGCTGCTTGCTGAGCAGAAACAGATGTGGGCCCCGTCCCTTCTGTTCCTCCATCTTGGGTCTGCATCATCACCACCACAGATCCTGTCTCTCACTAAGAGAAACTGGGATTTCAGCAGAAACAGATGGGCCAGCACCCTCAGCTCCTCCATCTTTGGTTCTACGTCATTGCCAAGTGCTGTGAATTCAGGAGAAACCAGATGTGCTCAGTGACTGCTGTGTTCACTATGTTGGCACTGTTGAATGGGATATGAGAAAAATAAGTAGAAGTGTCATAGATATTACGGTGGTCCCCTGTTGTGGTATGAGAACTGTGGAAACAGATCTATCTGTAATGTAGAGGAACAATGTAACTTAAGTTAAAGTCATCTAGCTTTCCTCTCTTTTTCCTGCGCTTGTGAGTGCACTTGGAGACTCCTAGGAATTCAATTTCAATTTCAGTTGCACAATCGTCTTAGCAACAAAAATGAGGGAAAACAGTTCATGTTTCTTCAGTATAGTGAATCTAAAACAAAGAAATTGGTTTTCTTCATTGCCAAACATATTGACAATGTGCCAACATGGATGTTTTGAAACAAGGAAAACACTACTGGAATTGTATCTCATGTGAGTTATTGGCACATTCTTTGCTTCAGACTTGATTATCTGAAAAAAAGAATTCTTCTGGCATTTTCATTTAAGAGTTTTTCCTTCCAAGTACAGTTTACAGAGTAAACAAAAGTACCAATAACAATATGGGTCATCAAGATTTGATTCATCTAAACAAGAACGCAAGCTTACATTAAGAGATGTCTTGCAGCACCCTCAAAACAAAGCTAACTCTTCTAAATGTGGCCTAACATGACAATTACAGTACAATTGTAAAGTCAAGTAGAGAAGAGCCTTTAAGTAAGTTAACTGGCACCCTTTATAAATGTTGCCTTATTAGAAAATGGTAAGAAAGCTCAAATTAAAATCCTAAATGACCAAAATTGCAAGTAAAGAGTACAAGGACATTGAAAAACATCAGACAACCAAAAATGTTACAAACAGGAATTCTTGGGAGGCAGATCCATAATTGTATTATGCAGAAAACACCAGTAGATACATTGTTGCTTGTAACAATGATGTGGGTTTTGCTTGTGCTATTTTTTTTACTCTGACACATTTTCCAACTAATGAAGTTGCAGCACCAGCAAAGATAATTTTAGAACAATGACAGTGGCAAAAGGAGACTTATAAAAGCACAATGTCCTGTAATGTTTTGGTGATGTCATCCTCATTAGCTTTAGTGGCCTTTGACCAAGTCATGACTCAGCCTTTATATTAACATCAAGCTCCTCTTTCAGCTCCTCCTGCTGTAACTGTTGTAATATGACTAGAAATGTGTGAACACACCCCCACCCTTCCCTTACTGGACTGTTTTGATGTGGATCGCCATGGCGATAATCTCAGCCCCCACCCCGCGCACTCCAACCCCTTCCCAAAAACCCAAATACGGCTATGTTTGTAAGGCAAGATGGAGGGCAGTGGGGTGGAAGAGAGAGTCTAGAAGAGGGGACACTGAGAGAAAAAAGTTAGAGATAAGCGAGGGAAATAGGAAAGAAGTGAAATGATGGACAGACATTGGGGGAACAAAAGAGCCAAAAAGGCAGGATGTACAGAAAACAGAGAGAGAACAAGGGATGGCTTTACCAGTACAGGAATGTCTTTCCCGCTGATATCATGTAACAGGACTAGTGGGATTAGAAGGGGAGGTTGTTCTCGCAAATCACAATGAGAACACCAGACATTTCCCTATCCAGCTGAATGAACCTTGTGATACAAGCGATAAACTCGCCACACTATCAAACTACAGCACCCGGCCACTCTGTATTGAAGACTGGGTTACATAATATATTAAGTCCTTTCAGTCCTTTCAACTGCTTCAGTGGGGTAAAAGTGACTTTGACTCAAACATATTAAGTAAAGAAACAGACAAAATGCATAAACCGCAGACATCTGGGGCTTAGTGCTCAAGTGATGTGTGTACACTTAAAAGATGTTAAATGGATTAAAAGATTGGGCATGTTGTATTTTAAGACGAATATTGGGCTAATTTTGAGACGTCAGTATGGTTGCTGTAAACAAAGGAGAGGGTCGTAGAGAAGAGCTGCTACCACCCTTAACTTCTTCACATTTTGTGTCGCTGGGCTTTTTATGCTGGAAGCAGTGAGAAATCTATCAATGATTCACTTTCTACGTGTTTGACTGACTCAAGAACTTTGACTTCAGTTGGAGTTAAATAACAGGGGTCAATGAGAAATTTGGTAGGTGTGAATTTAGTTTTAAAAAAAAGCAACCCTGTGAGAAAAGCCTTTATGGTAAATGTATGGTTCTCCAAGCACCCAAGTCACTTATGTCCGAAACAGAATCTGAATAACAGAATCCATCACTTTAACAGATAGATGAAGCCAGCAATGTTAAGTGAAATAAAACAGTCAACTCATTGTTTTAGCCATAGTCTCCAGTAGTTATGGACATTACACCAATATTGCTTTCTGACAGTTGGCATCAAATAAACATCAAAATAATAAAAATGTGTTTAATGTTGGTATTTTGCATGCAGGCCTCTTGAGCCAACAGATCATATGCCAATTTTGTTTCCCCTGTACACATTATAACTCAAGATTGGTGTGTTTTGAAGCACTTAAGTGTGTGAAGAAAGATCCGTTTTGTGGACACGCTTGGTGTCTGGATGGGAGGATAAATGTGCCAAAACAGATGTGTTTTATATTTTATCTGCAATAGTATTCTGTCTCTGCTGTCTGTCTGAGTGTGAATTTGTCTTCCACTCTGTCTGCCAGCCTGCAGTCACTCTCTCAAGACTTTTTTTTGGGCTGAGCAGGGTCGGATGGGGTCAGGGTTCTGAGAAACTCATCCCCCATAATCCCTCGCTGCCTGGCCAGGTTGCTGCGCTGTTCGCAGCACGTACACACTTGCATAAACAGACGTGCATACATGCGCACACATTCATGCTCTTCTTGGAAAAATGGAGAGAGTTTTGTGTCGCTTGGCAGTTGAGACGCTCATCTCTCTCCTTAGTGAGAGGGCCGCAGTGGACAAGGTCTCTCTGTCTTTCTCTGTCTACATTTACATGCACACATGAAACCCGGTTATTGAGAGAAATCAGGTTAAGGGCAGGGAATCGGAGAATGCAATTACATGTGTTTATACTGTGACTTATTTATTTTACTTTCAGGATAAGTTGGACTTTGGATTTCATTATTTTGGACACATAGACGCACAAATGTGTGGTATGCATTGCTTGGGGAATTTGAGTCCTTGCACCACAAAAAAGACAGTGCATGTGGTGTGTGTGTGTGTTGCTTTCTACTCATCTTTTGCGTTGCTACCATAGAAATGCCTTATATAGTCTGTGTCATTCACGTGCACACTTTCAGAATCCGTTATACATGGCCAAAACTCAGATTTCAACTGCAGAAATCAAGCTGTATTATCAAATCCAATCCCCTGTCAGATAAATCCGGTTATGCAGAAAGATAATAACAAACAGGGTTCTTCTTTGCATGTTTGTCTCTCCCACTCTGTTTTTGTTTATTGTTGTCTCTTTATTTTTTAATTTGAATTTATATATTCTTTCTATCCTCTGCCCTTACGGTATTTGCTTTCCTTTTTCTTATGCTACTTGTCCATTTCTCTGTGCCAGTCTCTCAGTCTGTCTCTCCTCCTCTAATCCCCTTTATAAACGATCAGGGCTCTGGCCATGAGAACCAAACCTTCACCATGACAACCACAATTTCAGGCATGTCCCAATGACTTCTCTGCCGTGTGTGTCTGTGTGTCTGTGT